GGGAGGAGCGGGGAGGAGGGGAGAGGGTGTTGGGGTCGCGCCCGAGGTGGCGCAGCCGGCGGTGGGAGTTTCCCCGAAAAAGGTCAATGGCATCGGACCCAGCTCCCGTCGTAGGGGTTTCCGCCCCTCGGCGGCCGGGCGGCCGGGCCAACAGGCGCGCTCGTGCCCTGCCTCGATCATGGCGAGCTTGCCTCGGCGCCCGCCAGTGAGGCGGGCAAAGGGACGAGGGGCCGGCGCCCCCTGGGGCCCCCTGTGCTCCACGCGTCGTCCGGCATTGCCAGCCTCTCGGGGCATGGGCGTGCCTGCGCACATTCGCGCCGTGCGCCTTCAGGGGGGGGTGCCGGGCGGGGGGGGGGGGGGGGGTGTGGCAGGGAATCCGTTCCGGCCGATCGCGGCTGGTCGAGAGCCTCCACGGCATGCCTCCTGCTGGTGCTGAATGGCCGATGGAGAGGCCTCTCGCTGCTCGGGCCACTCCCTTCCCCCGGCGATGGGCTTCAACTTTCAGCCGTTTTCTTTGCCTTGCACCGGGCGGCCGGGCGGCCGGGCGCACCGGCGCTCGGTGCGGAAGGCGGGGGCGCTGGCCCGACGGGAACCACACGCGTCTGGACCCTCGCGCCGCGCTAAGGCATGCTGCATAGTCCGCTTCGCCCCGGGTTCTGGCCGTTCGCCCGGGAATTACCGGTCCCCCCCCCCCCCTGGCTCTTCCCCCGGCGTGCGCGTTTCTTTGCACGCCCCCCCCTCCCCCTCTGACACGCACCACCGACGGAGCCACACCCGACATCAAAGTTCGCGGCGCCTGCAGATTGGCGATGGACCAGTGCCCGCGAGCATTGTCAGTTGGGGCGCCCTCCCAACTGGGGCATACGCGCAGGAGAAACGCAGACCCCCAGGCGGAGCCAGGCCGTGTGTGTCCGCCACCAGCCCACCGCGTCTTACGTGGCCCACCTTCCCCTTTGTGTGGCCGGTGCCTCGCCCCCGCGCCCTGCCCCGGCCCGGCCCGTCCCCGCCGGGGGCACACGCTCGTGCGCACGCAGCGCGATACGCGGAATCGCCTGTTTTCCCCTTCCTGCAACGGACGGTTCCGCTTGCCCCCCCCCGGCCCGCCCGCGGCATCGGGCCGTTCCCAGCCCGGACTCGCCGCCAACCGGCGGAGGCGGAGACACCGAGGGGGGGGGGGGGGACGGACCGGGGGTTATGCGGCGGCCCAAGAAGTTCGCCGGCTCGAGGGGCCGCAGATCACATGGACTCACGGGACTTTGCGTTGGTACTTCCTTGCGCCGCCATGCGCCCCTCCGCCTCGACGCGAGAAGTAGATCCCGCGGCGCTGTTCTTCGGTCGGCTGTGCCGGCACTCGGTGCCGGGGTGCGTCTATGCCACCCCCTCGCCTCCCCTCGCCGCCTGTCTCCCTGTCCCCTGCCTCCTCCCCGCCCGTTTCTCGCGCATTGGCTCCCCCCCCCCCCCCCCCCCCCCGCCCCCCCCCCCCCCCCCCCTTTCCCCCCCCCCCCCCCCCCCCCTTTCCCCCCCCTTGGCTCCCCCCCCCCCCCCGCCGGCCCGTCTCTTCCGGCCTGTCCTCTTTCCCCCGTCCCCGCTCCCTCTGTTTCCACGTGAACGCCTCTCGCGTTCCTTCTCCCGTGGTCCTCGCCCATGAGTGAGCCGACCTCGGTCGACATCCTGCAGGGGCAGATCCTCGCGGTGGCGGCCCACCTGAGCTCGGCCTGCCGGCACTGCCAGGCCCTCTTTGGCGATTGGCGCGGCTTGATCCTGTCGCAAACCCGGCGCACGGTCAATGTGGCCGACTTCCTGGCGACTCTGAACCGCGAGCCTGCCTCGGCCGCCCCGATCGACGACTGCGCCATCTGCTTCGGCCTCTTCCGTCAGTGCACGGCGCCCAGCTTCTTGGAGGAGGTCGGCCAGAGCGCCCGCGCGTTTGACCCCTTCCCCGGCACCTTCGAGGTCCTGGTGAATGATGTCCCGGCCTCCCTGCAGCTGCGCCTCATGCGTCTTTACGTTGTTTGCACCAAGATCAGGTAGGTAGTCTGGCGTCCCCCCCCCCATGTCCGGCCTCGTCCCTCCGGCCTCATCCACTCGCGGAGGTCCTCCTTCATTGTTCGCTACTCACAGGTTCCCCCCTCCCCCTCCCCCTGTCCCCTCTCTAGTGACAAAATGCCCACCCCCCTGGATGTGCGTTCCGGCGCGCGGGCCGTCTGCCAGGCCCTGATCGCGGAGGCCACCGCCGAGCGCCCGAGCCACGGTCGTTACGACCCGGCCATCGAGGTGCGAATCACCCTGGCATTCGACTATTCCGGAGCCCATGCCGATCTCCGGGTTTTGAGCGACCTGCCGGCCGAGGCCGGGCCGGCGCGCATCCCCCAAACCGACCCGCGCAAGGTCAACCACCCGTATGCGGTCCTGCAGCCGGGCATCCTGGTGTCGGCCCTGACCCGCTACAAGGTGCCGACGCCGGCCATGCCGCCGGCCTCCCCCGAGGCCGATGTCCCGGTCGATGGCGCCAATCCGACCGACGCCCCGGCCGACGGTGGCGACGCCACCATCCCGGCCGTCGACAGCGCGGGGGCCGGCGCCTCGACTGGCGCCGCCGATGTGCCCCCCACCCCGGCGACCGAGCCGGGCATCTCCTTCACCTGGCTGGAGTATGGCCTGCGCATGCATGCCGGCCAGCGGCCCCCCTTCTCCGGCGCCGATCTGTCCGTGGTGCCGGACCTCCCGCGCCCGGGGTCGCCTCTGCGCATGACTTGCGCCTTCACTTCCCCGTCGCTCTACATTGCCGGTGCGTGCGCGCCCTTGGTCGGCCGTTGATGTCCGCACGCACGCACGCACGCACGCACGCACGCACGCGGGTGCACGCGCTCCACTTGTCTCTCCTTCTTCCATGGCGCTGCTCCTGTCATCCTGCCCGACGACTCACTGTTGCGATTGCCCCTCCCTCCTCTCTTCCCGCCCCCCGCCCCCCGCCCCCCGCCCCCCCCCACGGGCTTCTCTTGGATGCCAACAGGCCGCTACACCAAGCACTCTCGCGAGGTGTCCCAATCGATCTGGGTCATCGGCGGCCGCATCGACCAGCTGGCGGATGAGGACTCCGGCCCGGCCTCCGCCGGGTCCGGCGGAGCCGGGCCCACCCGTAAGACCGCCCTTTCGGTGGAAGAGGCCCTGGCCAAGCCGCTGTCGGCGCTCACCGGCGCCGGTGGAGCGGTGTTTGTCGGGTCCGGCCGGGAGGATGCCGACGTGCGGATGCTCGGCCAGGGTCGGCCCTTCTATGTGGAGCTTCAGAACCCGCGGCACCGCCCGGGCCCGGCCTCGCTGGCCGCCCTGGGAGCGGCCATTTCCCGGCTCGCCGGGCCCGAGGCCGAGGCCTTCGGCCGGGCATTGCGCCAGCGTCCGGACTCGGCCACTGACCCCGACCTGATCGCGGGGCTGCCGGCCGCGTGTGTCGGCTCGGCCGGCGGCCAGCCGGTGCGCCTGCACCGCGAGCAGCTAGTCAGCCTGACCCTCGAGCAGACCAATCCCATTCGGGTTCCGGATGCCGCGGCCGAGGCCGAAAAAACCAAAACCTACCGGGCGGTGGTGCGCGTCCGCGCCGACGTCCTGGCCCGGAATGGGCTCCTCTCAAGCCAGTCGGAGGATTTCCAGGCCCGGCGTCAGGCCGGACCGGCGGCCACCACGGCCACCACCTCCCCGGTGGACAGTGCCGACGCCGCCGAGCGCCTCATGCAGGAGGATCTGGCTCGCGTGGAGCCGGCTCTGGCCGATCTCATTCGCCGGGTGGCCGATACCCGCGATCTGGCCCTGAATCAGGATACGCCGCTGCGCGTGCTTCACCGGTGCGTAGACGCTTGGGCCACGCCCGCCTCCCCCCTCCCCCCCCCTGCGCCTCGAGCATTCCCATACTCACCCGGATGCTCTGCCGTTCCCGGCCTCCTCTCGCACGCGTCCCCCGGGCCAGCCGCGCGCCGATGACCCGCGTGCGTCACATCCACGCCATGCAGCTCCGGCCCATTTGGCACCAGCCCCTGGACTCCGGCGCTCGGTACTTTGAGCTCTTCCTCACCACCCAGTCGGGCACGTGCGTTTCTTCGGCTCCGCCCCTTTCCCTCCCTGCGCGGGGTGCCGCCTCCTCTCGCCGTCCGCGCCCCCCCCCCCCTCCCGCCCCTTTCCTCTGCTAGCAGGAAGGCAAAGGGCAACTCACTCGTTCACCTCTCCTCCCCCCCCCCTCCCGAGCAGCTACATCAAGGAGTTCGTACATGGGGATCTCGGCCGCACCAGCCCCTCCTTCGGGTCGCAGTTCCTCGGCATCAATCCGGCCGGCCCCTTCTGGCCCGCGAGCGCCAATCACACGACCGAATCCCCGGTGGACATTGTGGCCCTGGATGTGTTCGAAGTGGAGCTGGCCTGGCCGCCGACCGAGGAGGCCACCCCCGATCCGGGGCTCGGCGAGCCCCCCAGCAAGCGCCCGCGTGTTGAAGCCGCGGCCGGCCCTGCCTCTTGTTGATTGGCAGGGGCCGGCAGGGGGACCCATGGGCCTGGGCTCCCTTTTGCCTGCCGGCGCCGAGTCCCTCTTCTGTCCTCCTTCTTCCCCCGTATAGACTCCCATTTGTGTCCCATATCCTGCCCGTGTGTGTTGTTGTTGCTGTTGCTCTCCTCCCCTCATACGCCGCCTGGCCTTCGCCTCTGGGGGCGCCGGGGATGGACTTCTCTGCGGGTGCTTGACCCACAACGTGTCAGCACGTGACCTGCACTTGTCACCCGACGCCAAACCTCTGTGCGCGTGCGTACCCGCAGCCCGGGTCCGTCGGCACGCCTCCCTCATTCTCAGTCGGTCAAAAAACCCGTTCCCTCCCGGGGAGAGAGCGGAGGGGGGGGGGGCATTAGCTACCCCATTTGTGCCGCCAGGGTGTGGCCGGCCGACCGTGCGCACCCGCCGCCGGGGCTGGCAGCCGCCTCAACGCAGCGGCCTGCCAGCGCGCCCGGCGCCCGGGCAGCGCAACAACGCACCCCCGCACCCATGCAAGCTGGACCCCACACGAATGCATCCCCCGGGCGCGCTGTGTCACCGCCCTTGGCCGATCATCGCCGGGGATGCAGTCGCTGGCCGCCATCAGCCGGCAACTGTCCCCCCCCCCCCCCTTGGCATGGGGCATGGATCTGCGCCCCCAGCAACAGCCTTTCAGCAGGTGACCATGCTTTGGCGCGCCTCTCGGCGGAGCCCGGCGACCAGGTCCCCTGGCGAGGATTCGTCAGGGCGCGCATATTTCCGGACCCCGGCCGGCCTCGCAAGCCTTACGGGCTCCCCGCATTCGCCCCCCCCCCCCCCTCCTCTCCGAGCAGGACATCGCTCCCACCTTTCCTTTCCTGCCCGCGGTGCCTTTCCTCCCTTCCCTTCCCTTCTCTCTATCTCTCTCTCTCTCCCCTCCCCCTCCCCTCTCCTCCACTGCCCATCCCCATCCCCCTCCTGCTGGTCCGGCATGAGAGGCTCGCGTGGTCGCTCGGCCGGCTCGGGACCGATGCCGCCTTATCCCCTGCGCGAGATCAATCCCCTGCGGCTGGAGGAGCTCGGCGCCCGGCCGGCATCTCTCCTGTCGCGGTGGGGGGATGCCCTCTCAAGGCGACTCGGCTTCATCGGGACGTTTCTGCTGCTGGTGGGATCCATCGTGCTCTTCTTCGCATCCTGGTGCGTGTGTATCCTGCTTCCCCGCCTCCGGGACGGCCATGCGCGCCGCTCGGCTTGCTCCCCCCTGCCACCTCGGTTCTCACCTGACCACCCCCCTGTCGTCGGCATGGTGAATTAGCGCCCCGGACCTGTGGCGTTATGGGTACAAGGCCTTGCCGATCATCTTTGGTCTCATCTCCCTGGTCGCGGTGGCCTCCATGCTGGCCGCCTCTCAGTCGGATCCCGGGTGCGTTGATTGTGTGCCTGCATTTGTGCCACCCTCCCTTCCTCGGGCATCCCCCTGTCCGCCGTTCCCCGTGGCCTTGTCCCTTTTTTTCCTCCCCCTCCCTCCCCCCCCCCCCCCCACTCACCCTCCCGCTTGTCTGTCTCCAGGTACATGCCCATTCGAGTGGTGGACCTGCTCGCTGAGGACCCCTTCATGGACACAGTGGTCCCGGTGGCTTTCATCCTGCCCGATCACATCCCCCCACCGAAGAACTGCGTCGCCGGCAGCCCATCCACCATGCACGGCGTTGAGCTACGCTATTGCGTCACCTGCTACTTCTTCCGGCCGCCACGCGCATCACACTGCTCCGTGTGCCGGCGTTGTGTCGGTCCGTGGTCCCGTCCGCGCAGTGCCGCCGCTTGACAGCCACGAGTGCTGTTACTAATTCTCTCTTGCTTCCCCCCCCCCCCCCCCTCTCCCTCCACCCTGGGGCCCACTGTCTCTTGGCTCATCGCAGATCGCTTTGACCATCGTGCGCGCATCCTCCCGCTCGCTCCTTTTCTTGCCGGTGCACTCGCACGCCCAGACCTGCCGGTGTGCTGACTCCCCGTGTTCCCGCTTCGCGCCCCTGCTCGGGAAGACTGTCCCTGGCTGTCGAATTGCATTGGCCGGCGAAATTACCGGCACTTCCTGATCTTTGTCCACTCCATCCCGCTTCTGAGCATCTACATGATCGGGGTGGCCATCTTCCACTATTACCTCCTCTGCACGCGCGGCCTCCCCCCCGGGGCTGCCGGCGGCGGCGGCGGCGGCGGTGGGCCGCTGTCCTTCCACGAGGCCCTGCGCTTGCGCCCGGGCCCGATCATCCTCGCCTCCTTGGCGGTGCTCTTCGTCCTGATGATCTCCGTGTTGCTGGCTCTTCACATTCTCCTGCTCTACCACCAGATGACCACCATCGAGCGGGTGCGCACCTGTTCGCCCCCCTTCCCCAGGATGCCTGGGGTCCAACACCCTGCCCCGCCCCGCCCCGCTCCCTCCCCCCGTCCTAATGCGCCTCCTGCTCCCTCGCCCCTCTTTCTCTCCCTCCTCGGTGACAGTTCAACCGTCGGTACAAGTACAACCCCTTCGCGGTGGAGTCCTACTGGCAGAATATTCACACCATCTTCTTCGGTCCGCGGGCCTTCCCCCTGACCCGCATGCGCCGGGTCATTGACCGGCAAATTGACCTGGAGCATGCGGCCGCCCTGTGTCGAATGTCCGGGGAGTGCACCTGTGGTGCTGGCGCCGGCGCCGGCCCGGGGCACCTCTGCGGTGGGGATCACTCGCCGACCTTTTCCAGCGGGGTGGCCATCCCCCTGGTGCCGGTTGGCAGCGGGGCGGCCGGCACATCGGTCTCCGGGACCGCCAGCACCGACTCGCACCACTCGCCGCCCCCTCAATCAGCCGGTGGCGTGGCCGGCACCATGCTGGCTGCTGGCGGTGCTGCTGGTGGTGGCAGTGGTGGCAGTGGTGGCGGCGGCGGCGGCGGCGGCGGCGGCGGCGGTGGCAGGTCCGAGCCGGGGGCTCGCCACCGCCGGCTATCCGATCGGCCCTCGCCCGGACTCCACCTCCGCGTCGGGCCAGCCGATGGGTCCCCCTCGATCGCCATGGCCCAGGAGGATGGCGACGACGATGCGGCTCCCGGGACGCCGTTGTCCCCAGCCGCCGAATCCCCTTCGCGCGGGGAGCTTCGTCCGATTGTTGAGCACATGCGATGAGGGGCACACACATGCACATGCACATGCACATGCACACGCACACGCACACGCCTGCACAGACACATGCGCAGACACACCCTCTCCTCGTCTCCCTCGCCCGTCCTCCATGCCCTGCCTGTTGATCAGGCACTGGCCACCGAAGAAAGTCCAGGACCACCCTTCCCCGGCAAAATACACCTATCTTTACACACACACACACACACATCCACCGCCCGGCGTTCCATCCACGCGAAGGGGCAGGCACAGGGAAGGGCCGGCGATGAAGGAGAGCGGACACGCCCGGTTTCCCGATCCAGGGATGGTCCGTGAAACACCCCGCGGCTGCCAATGGAGATGCATTTAACATGCGCAGCGTTCATGTGCCCCACGGCTGCGGCCGGGGGGCAGGGAGATTACCTGCCCCCCGGCGTCCCTCCGCACATTCGGGTGGGAACCGAGCATGGGGCGCCGGGCCACTATGTGGCAGGGTCATAATGATACGGCGACCACCGCACCCCGCGGCTGCCAATGGAGATGCATTTAACATGCGCAGCGTTCATGTGCCCCACGGCTGCGGCCGGGGGGCAGGGAGATTACCTGCCCCCCGGCGTCCCTCCGCACATTCGGGTGGGAACCGAGCATGGGGCGCCGGGCCACTATGTGGCAGGGTCATCTTTCGGACGAGCATTAATCAGGTCAATTAATAAGCTGGCAGCCCATCGTGCCCGGGTCCAGAATGGCGCCGCGTGATCCGAAGCTCCGCCTTCTGCGATCTGCCCCTCCTCCGGGCGCGCCCTGCCTCGTGCAAGCACGCGCGCATGTGTGAAAGCCTCCCCCTGCCCCCGGTGCCCCGGGGAGGAGCAAGAGCCGGCCGGGGCTGCATGTGCCCGGGCTTTTTTGACTCCCTCTTCCGTGAGCGGGCCCGTGCGTGTGTGGTGGATGCGTGGGGGCAGGGCGCGTCCAGCCCTCGGCCGGCGCGCCCCCATTCGTGGTTTCCATCTGCCCGTGTGTGTATGTCCGTGTGCGTGTGCGTGTGTGTGTGTGTGTGCGTGAGCATGCGTCAGGGCCGTTTTTGCTGCACGCGCCGATCTTGGTGGCGTTTTCTCGGCCCACTCCGGCGCATGGGTCCTCCGTTCGGCATCGCCTGCAGCCAGGTTTCTCCATTCGCCCCTCTCGCCCCTCTCGCCCCTTGCCTTTCTTGCCCATGTTCTCCCTTGCCACCCACCACGCCCGGGGGCTCGCCGCGCATGCGGTTCGCCACCGCACCGCCGCCACCGTCACGGCGGCCCCCTGGCTCCGGGCGTACTCCTCCGGCTCGGCCCCGGCCCCGACCCCGGCCCCGGCTCCGACCCCGACCCCGACCCCGAACAAGGCGGTTGATGACGCTACCCGTCGCCGGAACATGACTCCGGAGCAGCGCCAGTTCCCTCATGAGCCGGTCAGCCAGTTCTCCGAGGAGGATGCCCTGGCGGACGGGCCGAAGGAGGGGCTCCGGCTGCCGGGTGATGACTCGCCGGACCCGCATCACCCCTTCCCGGATCCCTTTGCGCATCCGGACCTCCTGTACAAGGGCCAGCTGACGGATAGCCTGCGCAAGCTGAAGCTCCTGTCCATGGTGGGCGCCGTGTCGACGGCCTTCGCCATGCCGGCCCTGGTGAGCCTGGACACTGCGGCCCTGCCGGTGGAGGGGCGCATGTTTGTGGCCGGCATCCTGGGTACTCTGGCCGCCAGCACGACCTTCCTCTTCCACCACTTCACCAAGACCTATGTCACGGAGATCCACGCCCTGCCGCCGGCCGACGGCCGGATCTCCGCGCAGCTGACCGACTACGAGCTGCTTGAGAGTGGTCGCCGCCTGTCCCTGGTCACCATGAACTTCTGGGGGAAGCCCGTGCACACCGTCGTCGATGTGGACAAGGTACGCCGCATGCGGCCATCTATTGGCCGATGGACAAGTTGCCTCCCGCCCCCCCCCCCCCCCCCCTCCTCCCCTCCTTTTCTCGCCCCCTCGCTCCCGGCCTTTCTGGTTGCCATGCCTGGTGTCTGACCATCTGTGTGCAAACGCGGACGCCTACCATTGGACCGGGGCTCCTTCTCTGTCCCCCTCGCTCCCCCGCCGGGTCTGCCGTTCGCTGGCATGCAGATTGTGCCGATTGACGGCTGGCCCCCTCTGACCAACGCCAAGGACGCCGAGGGCCGGTACTACTACCTGCACAAGAACCTGCTGCAGTTTGACCTGAGTGGCGACCCGCATGCGCCGGAGCCGATCCGCCTGGTGCCTCTGCGCGAGGCCCTCGGCGAGGTCTTCGAGTATGAGGAGGTTGATGAGGGGGCTTCTCGCAAGTGAGCGCCTGTCGCGCCCCTGCGTGGGGGGGGGGGGGGGGGGGTTGTCCCTTTGCTCCGTCTGCCCATTCCCTTTGCGCCTCCCCCCTTTGCCAGACAACTACACCGATCCATAGACATCATCTCGGCCTTGATCGGGCTTTTTTTTTTTCCTCCGCCGCCGCGCCTCAGTGGGCCAAATGGCTATTCAAAGGGCGGGGGGGGGGGGGGGGCTGAAATGCCTTTCCTCGGGAACTGCTGCCACGGTGTCCCAGTGCCGGTGCGAGGCGTCCCCGTCGGCGTGTTTCCTCCCCAAAGGGCGTCTCGCTCGGGGGAGGGTGCTGGGGGATGTGTATGGGCGCCAGAAGGGGCATACCCAAATGAGACGCCTCACGATCGCGCCCTCGCCCCGGGGAGGCCGCTTTCGGTGAGATGTCTCCTCGCCGTGCAGGTGATCCCCCCCCCTCCATGCCGCCATTTGGCGCACACACGCAGCTGTCGTCTCCGAGTGTCTGGGTTTATGTTTATGTATTTGCTATTTGTGCGTGCGAGATGGGCAACAAGGACAAAGGGGGGGGGGGGGCGGGCGGCACGCAGGTAAACATGCGCAGACGCACGTGCGCGAATCGGCCCTCGGCGGAGACAGGAAGGAGGGCACACGCCCTCGGGAGAGAAGGAGCAACAGACACACGATCAGGGCAAATGCAGGGGGGGCGGGGGCCTCAGCATGGGTGGCCAAATCTAGGGAGACCCCTGTGCGTGCCTGGCCCTGTGTGTCGGTGTGCGTGTGTGTGTGTGTGTGTGTGTGTGTGTTTGCATGCGCACGTGCGCTTGCAGGTTCAGAGTACGAAGGGGGGGGGGGGTGGAGGGAGGGAAGAGAGCTGCCCAAGGCCCTGGCAGAGGTTGGGGTTCGCAAAGGGAACGGGAAGCGAAGCATGCACGGGGGAGAGAGGAGCCCGTGATGGCCTTTCGATCCCCTTTGGCAGTTTCTCCAGCTGAATCCCTTCCACCGGACCACCCCCGCGCACTCGGGCTGGTTGGATCTCTCCATGCTCCATGTGTGGGCCCCCCCCCCCCCTCTCTCTCTCTCTCTCTCTCTCGCTGGGGCCTTGCTTCGGCCCCGTGCTGGGGCAGGTCTGCATGACATGATCTGCCCTGCGGATTCCGGAGGAGGCCAAGGAGGGGGGGGGGGGGGGGGCGCGCGCGCGCGCGTGCGTGCAGCAGTGCGCTAGCAAATTGCCGGGCGAGGCTTGGGCACTTACTCCTCCTGGCTGCGGCGGACAACCTGGCTGACACGCCGACGGAAGGAGTCCCGGTTGTCCCGCCACTCCTTCTGCAGGAGGGTGTGGGAGGCCATGGAGACACAGGAAAGCATGCGGGGTTAGGTCCAGGGGGAGAGGACAGAGAGAGAGAGAGAGAGGGAGAGAGAGAGAAGAGCAGACAGCCGGGGGGGGGGGGGGGGAGCAGGGTGGACGAGGGGCACATGGTGCACGTACAGCGGCGTCAACATTGGCCGGCGACTCGTCATTGGGGGAGCTCATCATGGAGATGACCGAGAGCATGACCGTCTGGATGGGGGGGAGAGGGAGGGGCGGGGAGAGCAAGGGATACAGCCAGGCGGTAAGTGGTTGGGTTGTTGGGGCGCATGCGCGCGCAATGGAGGGAGAGGGGGGGGGGAGACAGCGTACGCGAATGTTCTGCACCGGGTTCCACCGCTCGGAGGCGTCCTCGTAGCCATTCTCATCCTCGCCCGGGGCGTGGAGGATGCTGATGCACACCAGACCGTTGGGGTAGACTGGTGCGCGGGGGGAGCGGGCCAAAAGGGGGGTCAGAGGGAGAGCCAGGCAAGGGGGAAGGAGTGGAAAGAGCGGGGGAAGCCCGCCGGGAGAGGCGGCATCTCCGGGCCAGGCTGGCGGCGCACCATTCGGGTGGTACATCTCGGACTTGAAGCGCAGAACCGGCGGCTTGTCCGGGTAGTCGCGGGGGAAGGAGAGGCGAGCGCGGAAGAGGCCGCCCTCGCTGGAGATGGGGGGGGGGGGGGGGTTCGCGAGGCACACAGGCGGTGAGGAAGGGCTCTCTGGCGGCGTGTGCATGTGCGCGGGCGTGTGTGCACATATGCATGGGCCTGCGAATCGGGCGGCTGTGCGTACTAATAGGTGTCCGGGGGGCCCATGACGGTGACATCCCACTCATACAGGTCAGAATCATCGGCGAGGCCGGCGGAGAAGCCCTCAACCGGGTCGCGCATGAGCTCTAGATGGTAATGGCCGGGGCGGCGCGGGAGGACCGTGTGTCAGAGGGGGAGAAAGGCAGTGCAGCAGAGGAAGGGATGCGCGTGTGTGTGTGTGTGTGTGTGTGTGTGTGTGTGTGTGTGTGTGTGTGTGTGTGTGTGTGTGTGTGTGCGCGCACGCGCGCGAGGGAGGGAGGGGCGAGTACGTACCCTGGAGCTCCTTGCGCAAGATCAGGGCGGAGGGGATCTGAGTCATGGTGGCGGCTGTCGGCGAGGCTGGCGATGTCAGTCACAGCTGGGGAGCGGAGGCAGAGGGGCAGCGATGCGAGATCGAAGGCGTCGATCATATGAAACAAGACTCACCGTTCGGTAGAAGAGGGGTGTGTGTGTGTGTGTGTGTGTGTGGGATGAGTGTGTGACGAGGGGCGGGGTGTGTGTGTGGGAGGTGTGGCTGCGCTCGGCGGGTGAGCGGGCGGGCGGGCGGGCGGGCAAGCGGTGTGTGTGTGGGGGGGGGGCCTCTAATCGCGTGGGCGGCAAGTGGGCATCTTTTGTGCCTCCACCATCCTCGCCGTGGGCCGCACGGCGCCGCCGGCCGCAAGCTGGCCGCCGTTCCGCCCCCCCCCCCCCCCCCCC